TCTCCCCTTCAACCACTGCTGGCTGACACCGAGGATCACGTGACTGGATCGGAGCAGGCTGAAAATTGTTAAGTATATATACAGTATCTTTCTTACATAGCTTAGTCAGCATAGATGTGGGGGGGGGGGGGAGCATTTCTAAGACTAGTTAGGTTTAGCCTGGAATTCTACTTTAACTTGTCCATGAATACCCCCTGTATATGGATGTACCATGTAGCATGTTATGAAAGGTGAAATTATTCTTTAATCTTTTGCTAACCCAGCCTTACTGTTCAGGTTCATCATTTGTATATAATAACTTAGGTGCACACAGAGCTTCCCCCAAAAAAGTGGCTGCTAAAGCTAAAGAAAGCTGAAGCAGTGGCGATCACATCTGAAAAGTGATGTTCACCTGTGACACTTATGGGACTCAAGAGAAGACATTAAAAGGTACATGTAGATTCCCTTTGAAGTTGGGAAAACAAAAAAGCCACACTTTGCAGCGGGGCTGCTAACATTTTGTAAGGTCCAGTAACCAGGCATACAGTAGGGCTTCTAAAGTTTCATTGCTGTCTGTGCCCCCTTTATGGAGATTCCCACTCTCTGTTTCTCTAGTTTACCGTTATCACCGAGAGTGAAAGTGAAAGAAAATGGCAAATATAGGGTAGTCAGCAGAACAGGGGAAGAGGGGAAAGCTTCTAATTGGGACACTACTGTAGATCTGGTGCCCATGGTGCCAACAAGGGATTTCTCAATTCCTGTTTTGACTATGGGACAAGAAGTGAAGGGAAATCTCCACAATGGGGCACTACTACTACTTTAGCAACTATACAGTATCTGCTTTAAGCTGGCAGTTACATCACAGACAATGGCAAGAATGGTTACTATGTGGACTATGAATTAAAATAATGACTCTCTGCAGTCTTCCAGCTCCAGTGTGCAAGGTATTATTGAATCCAGGAGATAGCAAACAGTAAAAAGAACATATTGTACTTTCTTTCTATAATTACTAGTTTGATAAAAGGACTGAAATGCCATAGCTACAAAGAGGTTCGTTAGCCAGATTCTATTTCGGTACAGACAGCTGTGTCAGAATATATATGGAGGCACCTGACTCTCTGTACAGTCCATGTACATTTCTATCATATTTACCCATTCTTGGACCAGGCTAGTAAAAACACTGGGGCAAGCAAAGGACATAAATCACCAGCAGTTAAACATGGTCACTAAACCAGTATGAGATACATCACTCTCATCATGTTGCCAGCATAAAAGGCTTGGAAAGGTATCTGAAATTGTCGGATTCTAATTCCTTAAAAGCATAGTCTTCTGTGAAAGAACCTCTCAAAATTGTAAGACTGAGGCAGACATATGCAGGGATAATTTCTTTGACGGATATCCCCAGGAGATATAAGGAAAAAGATGGTGACCAGCCGACCAGCATCCACCTACATCTAAAATGTCAATTCTAGATGGGTTGATATTCTTATAACAGGGCAGGTTAGCAGGAAGAATCCAATTATACAGACCAGTCAGTTCGTTTAAAGCTAAATTCCAAGTAAACAGAAAAATTCAAAGTTTAGATACATATACTATATGGGATCTAAAATACACTCACTAGCCACTTTATTAGGTACACCTGTTCAATTGCTTGGTAACACAAATTGCTAATCAGCCAATCATGTGGCAGCAACTTAATGCATTTAGGCATCTAGAAGTGGTGAAGACGACTTGATGAAGTTCAAACAGAGCATTAGAATGGGGAAGAAAAGGGATTTAAGTGATTTTGAATGTGGCATAGTTGTTACCAGACGGGCTGGTCTGAGAATTTCAAAAACTGCTGATCTACTGGGATTTTCACGCACAACCATCCCTAGGGTTTAGAGAGAATAGTCTGAAAAATATCCAGTGAGTGGCAGTTGTGAAGATGAAAACGCCTTGTTGTTGTCAGAGGTCAGAGGAGAAAGACCAGAGTTGTTGCTGCGATGGTAAGATCAGAATTTGGTGTAAACAACATGAAAGCATGGATCCATCCAACGAATCAGGCTCGTGATGGTGGTGTAATGGTGTGGGGGATATTTCCTTGGCACTAGCAAAGTGTACCTAATAAAGTGGCCGATGAGTATACATATATGAACAAGAGAAGATAAACAGAAGAAAAGCAAGCATACTCTCTCCAAAGAAACCTCAGCCACTGCGGACACATATGTGTTATGTGGTTGGCAAGAGGTTACAGGGATGCCATTTTACAACATTAACAAAAAATTATGTTTGCTATGGATGGGACAGCAACTAAAAGTGAACACTGACCTCAAATCAACACAAATTAAATGAAACACTAGAGTATCAGTTTTGGATGGACTCAACCTTTGTACCCAACTCCAAAAATTGTAAATTCCACCTCACATTTACTATATTTGGACCAATCAAGGGGGTGTCAAACGCGGCCCCTGACACCACCAAAGTGCCACACATAATGTTCAATATATGTAATGCTTGAGAGGACTGTGAGAAACTGCAGACCTAATAGAGGAAATGAGGGTCAGAGAAGGTGGACATGCCACATTTTTGGCTGAGGATCTGCTTCAGATGACAATATGAAACTGGAAACATGTTTCATGAGGGTAGTAAAGATCAATGCTATAACCTCAATCAATGTTCCCACTACAGACTGTTGAAGTCCAGGGGCTACACATCATATACCAAAGGGCCATATGTGGCCCTCAGGCCACAAGTCGGGCACCAGGGCTCTATGTACTAAGAAATATATCTTTTTTTTAGTTAAATTATTTATTCATTTTTCATTTAAAAAACATATTTCATCATTACTCTCATATAACATACAAAACCGTCAGTTGTATCCAAACCATTAATTATATCCCTTTCTATCTTTATTCCCATTACCCCCCCCCCCCCCACCACCACCTCTTTAACACCCCACCCACCCTGAAAAAAAAACCAACCCCCCGCCACAAGTAAAACCACCCACTCTGCTTTTCTCTATAACATCTTTTCCTAAGTAAGGTATACTTTCACATATCCCACTCTACTACTTCATATATTTCACCTTGGACACAAAATCTTCCCATTTTTCCCCACCTCCTGTAATATAACCCCATCTTGTCTTCTTGCATATAATACAGTTTCTCCATCCTACATATCTGGTTCACTCTTTCCACCGCACTTCTGAGCTATGCCAAAACTTAGGTATCAGACCCTTTGCCGCATGCAGATAGTACCATATACCCGAATCCTTGTATTTGTTCACTAATAACTCTGTACTATGTAATAGACACAACTCTGGATCCAATCCTATCATTGTCCCAGAGATTATCCCAATTAAATGAACCATTGTCTCCCAAAAACCTTGAATCTTTGGGCACTCCCACCATATGTGATATAACATACCTATCTTTCCACACCCCCACCAACACTCTGGTGTATTCTCCCCAGTCATCTTGTGTTCAACGTTCGGTGCAATGTGCCATCTTGTTAAACACTTAAAATTTACCTCTACCTCTCTCATGCTTATATTCTCGTGTGTTAATCTATATATTTTCCTTTGTTTGTCTTCATCTATCTCTATTCCCAAATCCCTTTCCCATTTTACTATGTACATTGACTTTGTGTGTGTCTAACTCAGTGAGAATCTTATAAACTTTTGCCATGCCCCTTTTCCCATCTCCACGTGATTCCAACAACCTCTCAAACAAATTCCAATCCTTTCTCAATCTCAAAGGTTTCGGAAGATTCCCAACAAAGTGTTTTTAATTGGTGATATCTCCACTCGTCTATCTTAATGAAAAGTTCCCTTTTGTCCTTTTTCAAATCCTTAAGTGTTTTAAGAAATTTGTCCCCGCAGCAGCGGGGCGTGTACCACCAGAGGTACAAAAAAATATGAAACGCTCACTCAAAGAAATATATCTTAATACTGCAGATGGCAGCCTGTTATGAAGGCCCATTTGCTCTGTAATTAGGATTCTTTGCATTATTTCAGAGCCTCTTTGGTGAGAGAAGACTGATGTGATTAATACAATCAACAACATGCTTTGTGGTATGTGATTCATAACACACCAGTCCTGGAGCAAAAATAGCATTGTGTTCAACAGGGAGCTGTCACCAAGGAGCAACTGCTTAATATGCAGCGTCAACTGAGGAGAGCATCAGGATTTATCACTTCAGGATATATGTAATGTGGATTAAGGTGAATTTCACTGGAATCCCTCATCATGCCCAATCTTGTAGTCATATGTTACATTATTGAAGCAAGATGTCTTTTAGAGGGTAACTGCAGGTCTGTTATAAACATTGATGTCAACACAGTTGCTACACAAAGCTTCTTTGAATTGTTACACATACTGCTGTCATCCATTTTGTGTTGTTACATTTGTTTTGGTAGCATTAGTTACTTAGTATCTTTTACATTTTCCATTTCTGGACACTTTTGTATCTAAACTAAAACAAAAACAACCTGCGCCACAAGAACTATGAGAAAAATTTTAAAGTGAATGCTGCTGTGCCTTGATAAGAATCAAAAAGATTGAAAAAAATAAAAAAAATCAGTGAAACAATAAAACAGAGCAAAACATGAAATGAATCAAAAATAATTATACACAAATCATAATAAATTCTGTGGTTATAAAATAAATGTCCAAAACCATTAAAATTAAAAAAAAAATTAAAATTTCTGTCCAAATACAAAAAGTGATGAAACCAAAAACAAAGAAAGTTTCCTTTAACCACCTTCCGCCCGCCATATAGTACAATGACGCAAGGTGGTTCTCTCGTTCTGCTGGGAGTGTGCAGCACGGCGATCGCCGGTGCGCTGTGTCCCCTGTGGATCACGGAAAGAGCCGAAGATGTCAGCTCGGTCATGTGATCAGCTGTGTCCAATCACAGCTGATCACATGTAAACACGGAAATGCCGGTTATCTGCATTTCTCTCCTCTCGAGCTGTCACGCTGACAGCTTGACAGGAGAGGAGAGCCAGTAATCGGCTTTCCGCAGAGGGGACATGTACACTGATCATCAGGGCAATGATGATCAGTGTGCCCTGATGATTTGGGTGGCTACAGAAGTGCCACCTGTCAGTGTCCATCAGTGCCAGCAGTCAGTGCTCATCAGTGCCACGTGCCAGTGCCCATCAGTGCCACATCAATGCCACATATCAGTGCATACCAGTGCACATCAATGCCACATATCAGTGCCCCTCTGAGCTGCCTTTCAATGTCACCCATCAGTGCCAGTCAGTGCCACCTATCAATGCCAATCAGTGCTACCTATCAGTGCTGCCAATCAGTGCCACCTATCAGTGCCAGTCAGTGTAGCCTATCAGTGCGCATTAGTGTCGCCTATCAGTGCCAGTCAGTGCTGCCTAACAGTGCCAGTTAGTGCCACCTAACAGTGCCAGTCAGTGCTGCCTATCAGCGCTGCCTATCAGTGCCATATATCAGTGTCATGTATCAGTGCTGCCTTTCAGTGCCCATCAGTGATGCCTGTCAATGCCCATCAGTGCAACCTACCAGTGCCTCCTCATCAGTGCCACCTATCAGTGTCTATCAGTGCAGCCTATCAGTACCCATCACTGCAGCCTCTTTAGCGCACATCTGTGAAGGAGAAAAAAATCACTTATTTACAAAATTGTATAACAAAAACTAAGAAAAAACGTATTTTTCTCAAAATTGTCTGTGGTTTTTGGTTTGTTTAAGAAAAAATAAAAATCCCAGAGGTGATTAAATACCACCAAAAGAAAGCTCTATCTGTCTCAAAAAAAGATAAAAATGTCATATGGGTACAGTGTTGCATGACCGTGAAATTGTCATTCAAAGCGTGACAGCGCCGAAAGCTGGAATTTGGCCTGGGCAGGAAGGGGGTGCCCTGTAGGCGAGGGGTTAAACATGCAAATAGTGCTCCAAAATTTTTTTTAGGATAAGCAAAATACAGAGAAAAGACTCCACGGATCCACACCTTCCTGTGAATACTGATGTATTCCGCTCTCACCAGAGATAAGAATAAATTACACTTTATGGATACAATATTATCCTCCAATTCCCAGGGAAAATGTTCTCTCCATAGCCTCCTCCATATACAAGAGCTTCCTTACATCCAACTTCAACAGGGATTTCCCCTCATAACGATGTGTTATATAGGAAGACAAAGGAGAACCAATAGTGCAATATTGCAAAGACTTTTAATTAAATAAAATAGTGCTCAATCTACTCACATAACAAAATCACATTGACAAAATCCTCCAAAACAGACTTCCAAGTGTAAAACGGATTCCAGAAAGTAAACCAAACTGGCAGCACCGGATATGACGTCACACACGCTCAACATAGGAAACCAGAAGTACGCCTGACTGACGCATTTCACCCTTCCTTCAGGGCGTTATCAAAGACCAAAGACAGAATTTATTATGATTTGTGTATAATTATTTTTGATTCATTTCATGTTTTGCGCTGTTTTATTGCTTCACTTTTGTCTCTACGCTTTTTTGCACCTGTTTCTAATAAAGCTAAACTACAATCTCCCCTTTAGACCTCATTCACACCATAATGTGTCCAAATGCATGTGCTTCTCTACGCTTTTCCATGCAATGCATTTAGGACAGCCTATCATTTAAATAGGCTGTCCTATGCGGGTGAAACATACCAAAAATAGTGCAGGCCTGATTTTTAATATTGCAGCACACCACACTGCATGGTACAATCAAATCAAATGCATGCAGGTGCCATTAAGAATTAATAGCACTCACACCACCTGCGGAAGGCAGTGCATTTTTCTGCTGTGTGGTAGAAGAAGCAATTTTACACACGTTCCTGCACCATACCCGGTGTGAAAGAAGGTGTAGTTGATGTTTCCAAAATAAAGTGCAGGGTTTCTGTGATTTTCAGGCTCTCTGGAGGTAAATCGAAGATGGCAGCTGGCACCTGGAGTTCCCCCCTCTATGGACATGGGGCCACCCTACAAGGTAACCTGTATCAACAGACTCAATTTGAATAAAATGAGAGTTGAAAAAAATAGCAAAATGTAATACGGAACATGAAAGTATAAGATGGATTCTCTCTGTCATTTGGCAGCATAAAAATCCCATTGAATTTGCTTTAGTATGTCAGCAGAAATGCAGCAGCAGATGACTCCAGCAGACCTGACAAGGCTGTAGCCTCCAGCACTGAATCTGGAGAGATGTCAGATAGCAGCATGTACTCCGCAGAATCAGACTGTCGCTGGGGCTGACACTCTACAATAACCATGTGTCAGGGCAGGACGTTCACCACAGCCTGAGGGGCCTACTGTATGTGCATGTAGACACACGTTAGCTTCTGCTTGTTTTATTGTAAGGGTTAATGAGCCAGTCCACCCAAAACTGACCATTTAGTTATGGGTGCAGACTGATGCCCTGAATCCCACACTAGCTTCTGAAATGGTGCCCTTACTGCTTCTTTCTATTTGTCCAGTTATAGAAAATTTTGGAAACTACACAATCTGTGCACAAAACAACAATTGGCTGCAAACACAATAGAGGATATCCTCTCTAGAACCAAACTGTATAATATAAAGTGTTGCGCTATACAGTGATTAATATTATAATATATGCAAACAATATAAAATAAATAAAATCAACAAAAATGAATAAATACGCGATTCAAAGTATTTGCCATATGAATGAATAAATAATAAAAATAAAAAAGCTAAAGCTCACAGGGAATAAATTCAAATAAGTCAGCATTAAGATATATCAGTGAAAAAAAACCTCAAAGTCCATGGTGAGTGAATTGAAACACATCAATGTTCTTTGTTCTTCTCTTCATCCACCAACACCAGTGCTACTCATCACCACAGTGCAAAGAAGATGCAGGCTTTAAAAACCCCCCTATTCAGAGTGGTCATAAGTGCTCTACATGCTCTACATGGATGCTACCTCTCCATTTCAATCCAAATAATGGACACCACTATCACTCCTGAGATGTATGGTAAATTCACAGTACATAGTGTATACATGCAAGATAAGCAGATAGAGCGCTTCTCCTAGTGTAAAGCCACTTAAAAACCTGTTACATAAGAATGCATTTACAAACAAAGGATATGTATATGCAAATCAATAATCACCAAGCTGGAAAGGGTAACAGCAAATTCTGGTTCTTGTGCGTGATGACGTCACGAGGGAGGTCCTGCCTGATACGTTTTGTCCTGAGGAGATGTCTTCCAAGGCACGTGGCCCCGGAAGACGTCTGCTTATAATGAAACGCGCCGGGCAGAGCCTCCCCTGTAACGTTATTGTGCACAAGAACTATTATTTGTCCAGCAACCTGATCACCTCAACTTTCCTTTACTTGATTTATTTTGTATTGTTACATTCACTGCTGTGCTGTTGTGTTACATTTGTTTTGGCATCATTAGCTACTAGTATCTTTTATATCTCTCCTATTTCTATTCATTTTTGCCTTCTACCTTTTGTGTGGCTGTTTTGTATTAAATCTGAACTCCTGCCTTCCCCTCAGTCAGATAAAGCAAATCAGATACACCGTCTCATTTCCTGGTTGCAGCATCATCTAGCTTCTTCTACCCCTGCATATAGTGCAATGCTAATGAGACAGTCCACCCAAAATTAATATTTAGGTACAAGTGCAGACTGAAGTCTTGAATCGCACGCTCGCGATCCTCTAACTTCTCTAATTACTTTGTGACTCTGGTCATTAGATTTAATGCTGAACTACAGGCAGATCTAAAAGGCACAAATGAATGCAGCTCTGTAATCATTAATCAATCATTTCATTTATTTTTATAAAGCAAGCCGTGTAAGTCCCAATTAATGACCTGGTATCAGTCTCTTACATACCCTGTACAGAACGGCTCAGATTGGGGAGGCAGAAGTAGCATGCTGAGTGACAGAGAGATGAGCTCATCAGTAGACATGTATACGCCAGCAAATTTTGTTTTATTTTCGTTTCGGATACATTCATTAGGTAGAAATTTAGTTTATTTGTTTTTGGTGGGTTGGTCTGCTTTGTTTTCGGGATTCCTTTTGTTTTCTAATCCACCTGGTATAACTTTGATCCATATTCATTGTGAATAACTGTGGTTGTTAGGGAGCAGGCAGCTTAACAACCATGACTCATCTGCTGTCAGCAGGAAAAGAAGTGCTGGAGAAAAAAGAAATAAAAAAAGCAGTGTGCCCCCCCCCCCCGCACCCCTCTTCATACCAGGCCCTTTGGATCTGGTATGGATTTTGAGGGGAACCCCATGCCAACATTTTTTTACAAATTACGTGGGGTCCCCCCAAAATTCCAAGCAGACCCTTAGGGGAACCCTACAAGCAAATGTAAGAAAAAAACTAGCAAACCCTTTTGCAAGCATGCAGCCAGACAGGCCAGGAAAAGGGGGGGATGAGCGAGCGCCCCCCCTCCCCTCCTAAACCTTACAAGGCCACATGCCCTCATGCTTACCTGTCAATCAATGCGTGTGCCATGGAGACACTTACCCAATAAGAGGTAGACATCCCTATTTGGGTGTGTCGTGCTTTTTTTTCCATACAGGTTGGCGTTCATCGTGAATGAAGTTGGATCTACTTCGGGGGATATATTTTTTTTTAATAAAGGGCTTGTCAAAAAATGTCTCTGTGTTTTTTTTGGGTAAATGAGTAGGCGTTCCTATGTGCCACCAAACTCATTTGCATTGGGGACGGGGGGTGGGATCTAGGGGCCCCCTTGTTAAATGGGTCCCCTGGAGGCCCCCTTGATTCCATTAAGCCCCCCTACAGACCCCTACAATCAGGGGCGGACTGACCATTTGGAAACTCGGGCGCTGCCTGAGGGCCCGGGGTCAGTAGGGGGTCCCATGAGATGCCCCTGGTACCTTTTTCATAGGCTTTTTTGAGTTTGGGCAAGGACACAGGGGCCCCATGATCCCCTATTGCCCGGGGGCCCCATGAGTTGTCAGTCCGCCCCTGCCTACAATCAATGCCCAGGATTGTGGGGGAAGAGGCCTTTGTCCTCATCAACATGGGGACAAGGTGCTTTGGGGGAGGAGGAGCTAGAGTTGGGGACAAGAGCTGTATGTGTTGTGGAACTGCAGAATAGAAAGGTTAGGTCTCTTCCCCTGTTAGACAGGGTTGTGCTGTATGGCAGAGCTGTGCAAATCTCAGAACTGGATGGATACAAATTAAAATCCTATGTCAGATAAGACATCTTTTTTTTGTATGTATTTCATCTATGTATTTAGCTGTTTGCATGAAATTCAGTTATGCTATTTCAATGATTACATTTTCTCATATCTCTCAGGGACTCCTGAGTGGCACCCTACAATCTGCATAATGTGCTTAGTTTGTTGTTTTTGTTTTTAAATCACATAGCAATTCACCAAGTGAAAGTGCATGAACATATGTTTTATGTGAAAGCTATTAGTATTTATTGTGTTTTATGAATGTCCTTCATTGATTTACAATGGAAAATACCACATTTGCCCACCAAAACAGGGGTGTCCAGCCTTTTACTCTACTGGGCTGCATTGGAAGTAAAGGAACTGTATGGGGTCGCACATAAAACGCACCAACAATAAGGCCTCATTTAGACTTCACAATTTGGAATCGAGAGCAGAAT